AATGTTAGAAAACAAACAGGACAGCTGAACTCTATGGTATGAAAATAAACTTTAGCAAAACTAAATGCATGACATTCTCTAAAAGCCCTAAGGTAATGAATATAGTTATTGAGGGAAAAGAGATAGAACAGGTGGAAAGGTTCAAATACTTGGAACAAACATTGACAGAAGATGCAAGATGCTCAGAAGAAATTAAAACAAAAATAGGCCAAGCAAAACATGCCTTTTAGAGAAAAAGAGAAGTCGTTCATCTCAAATAACATGGATAAAAAAAACTAAGAAAACGCATATTGAAAATCTATGTATGGAGTATAACACTTTATGCAGCAGAAACATGGGCACTAACCAAAAGAGATGAACAGAGATTAAAGGCATTTGAAATGTGGTGCTGGAGAAGATTGCAAAACATTAGATGGACAAAAAGAAAGACAAATCAGGAAGTATTGGATCTAATAGAAGAGGAAAAGAAAATAGAGTAATAGAAGTAATCAAACAGACGAGGAAAATGGTTTGGCCATAACACGAGGAATAGTCAATGGATGTGAACACTCGTGGAGGGTAGGATAGGTGGAACCAGGCCCAGAGATAGACCGAGACAAGATTACATCAAGCAAATGATAAATACTGGAACGAGTAGCTATCGGGAGTTCGGAGAAATGATGGCCAATCGGAAGAGATGGAGATAACATTTTCAAAGTGCTGCCTGCCAGTTTTACGACTGAAAGAACTCACAAGAGAGACATACATACATACATACATACATATTATTATTAAAGTAAAATCCGTTTATTTTTTGTCGCGTGTTCCCCTTTCCCTAGTTACTCTGTTAAAATGACCTCGTTTAAAATCGATTCGGTTACTCTCCACCAATAAAAAAAATGGCTCTGAAAAGAGCCGTTTGATCGCTAGATTACGGGAATCTAGCAATTACGTTTCCGTTTCCGGTCGAAAATTATCGTTCTATCGGCGCCCCATTCTCTTTCTACTGCCAATAATTTTTCTACCAGATTTTCCCTTTTTTCCTCTTTTTTTACTCCTTCCTATGGTTTTCGATTTGGATCTTCTTCTCTTGGCATTCGATCTCTTCCGAGGTGATGTGCGCCCTTCAGTTAACATGCTGCTTCCAAATATTCTCACGACATCCTTTTGCATCTTTCTTTTCAAATCACTGACGATGCCCCTTAATCTCCGACGCAAGTCTCGTTCGGAAGGAGTGAGTTTTAATTCGGATTCCCGAGTTTCTTGTACTGTAGAGGGGCTAAAATGGACTTTTTTCTCTTTCTTTTCTCGATTATCTTCGTCCATGGCGTTTTTCTTCTTCGGAGAATAGAAGCAGAATGACGGAATTCGACGTTTCGAACGACGTTCAAAAAGAATCGATTCCGTTCTACGGCAAATCAAATTTTTATATTTAAATTTTTATGTCTTTGAATTGTTTAAAATTTCTTTAAAAAAAAAAAAACTTAAAAATTATTTTAAAGTTCTACTCGTTTAAAGAAATCTGCAGAATGTTGTTGGTTCTTCTTTAAATTACTGTAATTCAAAATGGCGGAAACGTCAGAAATAATATTTATTAAACACACAAAGTTTGAAGTGTAAACTCTAAAATCCACTTCATATATAACGAACTGCAGAGTTCTTTAAAAAACTAAATTTCGCACGGTAACTGTTAATTAATCTTTGGTAGTATAGAGGTAGATAGAGGATTGTCACGTGTCATATCTCGACAGCGGTCGCACTTAATGAAGATGTTATGCGAATATGAGTTAATAGGTGTTGTCTATGTGCAAAGCTTCATCTGCAGTGGCGGCAGGTGAAAGGTTTCTCTCCAGAATAAATCCTGGCGTAGTGCCTTGGTAGAGCGAAAGTCCGATTAAATCTTCTAGAGCATAAGTGACAAGAGAACGGCCTCTCTGGCGTGAATCCTCCGATGACTTTCTAATGCGGACTTAAAAAAGAATTATTTGTCACAAATTCCACAGAGAAATTTCTTCTTTGGGTTTTGCTTGGCGAAACCTATGAAAAAATTCAAACCGAAATATTGAATTTCAGTTTGAACTTTCAAAACCAATTATAAAAAATACTGCCAAAAAAAGAGAAATGCACGATGTGAAATTGGAACCGGATGAAGTTTCTAGTGATTTGATTGGTGATCGGAAAAGATAATGTATTTCCACATTATAACCTTGTTGCGGTTCAAATGTCTTCCTCGTCTCAAAAGAAAATTTGAATCCAAAGACACGGACTAAAAGTGAATTCGAACCTTTCAACTGGTCGCTCGACCAGCCACGGGAATTGAAGAAACATTTTCCAATTTAAAATTGAGTAAAATGTTCGTTAAATTCACGAAATCCATTAATATAATTATTAGATTATCGAATAAAACATTTAAAATACTCTACGCAATTCAGAAGACGTGGAATATCCACGTTTGAAACGTTCGTCTCGTCCCATAAATTCGATGTTCCTCGTCGACATTTTCTTTTTTCCCACAAAACTTCTTCATTTCTGAATTACAAAAGTCCGCATTTATACATTTTATTCTAATGGAAGATGCAAGATGCTCAGAAGAAATTAAAACAAAAATAGGCCAAGCAAAACATGCCTTTTAGAGAAAAAGAGAAGTCGTTCATCTCAAATAACATGGATAAAAAAAACTAAGAAAACGCATATTGAAAATCTATGTATGGAGTATAACACTTTATGCAGCAGAAACATGGGCACTAACCAAAAGAGATGAACAGAGATTAAAGGCATTTGAAATGTGGTGCTGGAGAAGATTGCAAAACATTAGATGGACAAAAAGAAAGACAAATCAGGAAGTATTGGATCTAATAGAAGAGGAAAAGAAAATAGAGTAATAGAAGTAATCAAACAGACGAGGAAAATGGTTTGGCCATAACACGAGGAATAGTCAATGGATGTGAACACTCGTGGAGGGTAGGATAGGTGGAACCAGGCCCAGAGATAGACCGAGACAAGATTACATCAAGCAAATGATAAATACTGGAACGAGTAGCTATCGGGAGTTCGGAGAAATGATGGCCAATCGGAAGAGATGGAGATAACATTTTCAAAGTGCTGCCTGCCAGTTTTACGACTGAAAGAACTCACAAGAGAGACATACATACATACATACATATTATTATTAAAGTAAAATCCGTTTATTTTTTGTCGCGTGTTCCCCTTTCCCTAGTTACTCTGTTAAAATGACCTCGTTTAAAATCGATTCGGTTACTCTCCACCAATAAAAAAAATGGCTCTGAAAAGAGCCGTTTGATCGCTAGATTACGGGAATCTAGAAATTCCGTTTCCGTTTCCGGTCGAAAATTATCGTTCTATCGGCGCCCCATTCTCTTTCTGCTGCCAATAATTTTTCTACCAGATTTTCCCTTTCTTACTCTTTTTTTACTCCTTCCTATGGTTTTCGATTTGGATCTTCTTCTCTTGGCATTCGATCTCTTCCTAGATGATGTGCGCCTTTGACTTAAGCCGGATGCGCACATGCGGCGCGGCAAGGAAAAGCGGCGTCGCAAACGCATCTTCGCCGCGCGGCAGCACAGCTACACAAGCGGCAATCCGCTTACATTTCGGCGCATGCGTTCAGTATTCAAGATGGCGAACGATACCGATATTGTCGTTATCCACGTGTTTACAAATTTTGTTTTGTACGGCTTGCTTTATTTAGTTAGAAGATTCAAACGAAGATTTTGGATTAGAGATATTTTCTTGGATCGATAAAGAACTGGTGTACAAAATACGCTTATTCCTCGATAAAGAATACTGTACTATTTCGAGTAAGATTCGGTTGTTTTGTTTTTTGAATTAAATTATATATGATTATTTGTGTAGAATTTGTGTTCAATTTATTATCTTTTTCTCTTTATTCTGATGTTAGTTATTTCGGTTAACCGCGTCGAACTTTCTGCCATTAAAACACCACGTGATTGTATTTTCTCACGTGACTACCGGACGAACTGTTATTGGCTGATCTTGGCAGCGGTTGCCGCAAAACATAAAATTCAACCAACTTTTGCGGCACGAGAAAAGCGGCACAAAATCGACTTCTGCGGCGAGAAAAAGTGACGTCATCCTGCCGCTTTTCCTTGCCGCGCCGCATGTGTGCATCCGGCTTTAACCTTTATACACGAGTTAACGTGCCAAATTTCGTTTCTTAAAGAACTCTGCAGTTATTTATGAGCTAGACTTTAGAGTTTACACTTCAAACTTTGTGTTTTTATCATTATTTCCGACGCTTCCGCCATTTTGAATTACAGTAATTTAAAGAAGAACCAACAACATTCTGCAGAGTTCTTTAAACTTAAACGAGTAGACCTTAAAAATTATTTTAAAGTTTTTTTTAAAAGAAATTTTAAACGATTCGGAGACTTAAAATTTTTGAATTTAAAAATTTGATTTGACGTAGAACGGAATCGATTCTTTTNAGTTCTTTAAACTTAAACGAGTAGACCTTAAAAATTATTTTAAAGTTTTTTTTAAAAGAAATTTTAAACGATTCGGAGACTTAAAATTTTTGAATTTAAAAATTTGATTTGACGTAGAACGGAATCGATTCTTTTTGAACGTCGTTCGAAACGTCGAATTTCGTCATTCTGCTTCTATTCTCCGAAGAAGAAGAACGCCATGGACGATAATCGTGAAGAGAAAGAGAAAAAAGTCCATTTTAGCCCCTCTACACTAGAAACTCGGGAATCCGAATTAAAACTCACTCCTTCCGAACGAGAATTGCGTCGGAGATTAAGGGGCGTCGTTAGTGATTTGAAAANCAACATTCTGCAGAGTTCTTTAAACTTAAACGAGTAGACCTTAAAAAATATTTTAAAGTTTTTTTTTAAAAGAAATTTTAAACGATTCGGAGACTTAAAATTTTTGAATTTAAAAATTTGATTTGACGTAGAACGGAATCGATTCTTTTCGAACGTCGTTCGAAATGTCGAATTCCGTCATTCTGCTTCTATTCTCCGAAGAAGAAAAACGCCATGGACGAAGATAATCGAGAAACGAACGAAAAAGAAGTCCATTTTAGCCCCTGTACAGTACAAGAAACTCGGGAATCCGAATTAAGACTCACTCCTTCCGAACGAGAATTGCGTCGGAGATTAAGGGGCGTCGTTAGTGATTTGAAAAAAAAGGTACAAAAGGATGTCCTGAGAATATTTGGAAGCAGCATGTTAACTGAAGGGCGCACATCACCTCGGAAGATATCGAATGCCAAGAGAAGAAGATCCAAATCGAAAACCATAGGAAGGAGTAAAAAAAGAGAAAGAAAGGGAAAATCTGGTAGAAAGATTAGTGGCAGTAGAAAGAGAATGGGGCGCCGATAGAACGATAATTTTCGACCGGAAACGGAAACGGAATTTCTAGATTCCCGTAATCTAGCGATCAAACGGCTCTTTTCAGAGCCATTTTTTTATTGGTGAAGAGTAGCCGAATCGATTTTAATAAACATCGCTTAATTAATGCATTAAATGTGGTAGATTCGGTTTTATTTTAAATTTGCAATCGCTTCGAATGTAGAATTTGGAAATCGTTTAGAGTGAAAATTGGCTTTTTCGATTATTTAA